ATGTGATGTTAGCTGTAGGGTCTTCATAGATACTTTTTTTCAGATTGAGGAAATTCCCTTGAATTGAGCTTGTTGAAAAGTTTCTTTCTTTTTTTTTTCAATTAGTGTTGGATGTTGGATTTTGTCAAATCCTTTTCCTCATTTAGTAGGATCATATGTTTTTTCTCTTTTATCTTGTTAACATGACAAAGTTTGTGCCTGTATGCTAAGTCGCTCCAGTCGTGTCCGACTCTTTGTGACCCTGTGGACTGTAGCCCACCAGGCTCCCCCTTCCATGGGACTCTCCAGGCAGGAATACTGGAGTGGGTTGCTGTGCCCTCCTCCAGTGGATCTTCCTGACCCAGGGATCAAACCTGCGTCTCTTACATCTACTGCATTGGCAGCAGGTTCTTTACCACTAGGCCCACCTGGGAGGCCCCCAAAGTTGTTTCTAATATTCCCTTATTGTATTTTTAATATTTGTAGAATCTATAGAATATCACTAATCTCATACCTTTGTTTTCTTTCCTTTTCCTAACCTGTATGGCTAAAGGTTTACCAATTTCATTAACCTTCTCAAATAACACCTTTCAATTTCATTCAGTGTCTCTTCTTTATTTCAATGATTTTTCACTATGGTCTTTATTTCCTTTCTTTTGCTGATTTTGGGTTTTATTTGTTCTTTTCCTAATATATGTTAGAGGCTGAACTCATGTATTTGAGACCATTCTTCTTTTTTGTTATAGGTGTTTAATGGTATATATTTCTAAATACTACTACATTTGCAGTATCCCACAAATTTTTGACAGGTTGTGTTTTCTTATACATTTGATCAATTTGATTTCTCTTTTGATTTCTTCTTTGATACATGGGTTATTTTTTCATAGAAGTCTGTTCATAAATATTTGGGAATTTTCCAGGTATCTTCTTGATTTCCAATTTAATTCGGCTATGAACAGAGAATGTACCTTGTGTGACTAAGTCATAGGTTTTTTTGCCCAGAATATAGCCTATTGTGGTAGGTGTTTCATACATAATTGAAAAGAAAATGTGTTCTATTATTTTTAGCTGGAATTTTCTATACATGTCAGTTAGGTTAGGTTGGTTATTCAAACCTTCCATATCCTTGATGATTTTTTTTTTTTTTTGGTCTACTTGTCCTATCAATTATTGGAAGAGGGTACTGAATTCTCTGACTATAATTGTGTATTATTAACAAGACACAATTAACAGCATTAGCACCTGTGGCATTAATACTTTTAGGCTCATGTGTTTTCAAGCTGTGTTTTTAAGTGAAAAAATGCTTAGAATTTTTAGTTTTTTTGATGAGTTGACCTCTTTATCACTATGAAATAAACTTCTTTATCCCTCATAATATTTATTTGCTCTGAAATCTACTTTGTTTATATTAATATAGCCAGTCCAGTTTTAATTTGACTAGTATTAGTATGGTATGTCTTTTTCTTTTACTTTTAACTTATTTTATATTTGTGCATTTTTTGATAAGAGTTGATGATTCAGAGAGATTCTTTGCAGTGGTTTAAAGATATGGCCACAAATTCCTTGATACTTAAATCCCTTTAAGAGGTAAACCTTAAATTCTCTCATTAAATGTAATCTGGACTTGGTGACTTGCTTCTTATGAGTAGAAGAATATGGAAGAAGTGATGGTGTATCACATCTAAGCCTCAGTCATAAAAGGCATGACAGATTCCTTCTTGCTTTTTCTCTGGGATCCCTTGTTCTGGTGGAAACCATCTTCTGTTACGAAGACACTGAAATAGTCATCTGAAGAGGCCTATGTAGCATGGAACTGAGAAGCATCCTGTCAATAGACAGAAAGAAACTAAGGCTTTTTACCATTAGCCTTGTGATGGCACCATCTTAAAAATAGAGACTCAAGCCTTTAGATGACTGAAGCCCTGGCCAACATCTTGACTGTAATCTCATGTAAGACCCTGAGCCAGAAATGCCCAGATAAGCTGTTCCTAAATTCCTGACCCTCACAAACTGTTAGACAGTAAATGTCTGCTCTTTAACCCATTAAGTTTCGAAGTTATTTGTTATGTAGTAACTGGTACATCTAGTTTAAATAGCTTAAAAACTCTTCCTTGAAAAATTTGTATTTCATACAATAAAACATTTTAGGCAGAAAACTAACATTTTTGGATAGAGATATTTTTCAACTGTATAGTTACTCTTTTAATAACTTACATGTTTTAATAAGATAAGGTCTTGTAAAATTTATCACTTTCCATAGAGCTCTGAAATAGGAAAGGGCTCTTAGGTCGTTGGAGGGCCAACAGGAACTATGTGGAACCCTTGATACTATGTGCAATATGTTGTATCAAGAGCATTTTCCTGAGAAAAAATGTTTATAGCTTTTACCAGATTTTCATAGAGTCTTCCACCACCCTCCCCTCCACCAAAGAGTTAAGAACCACTTATCTGTTTCCCATTGCTCCCTGTGAAAATTCAGATACAAGAGACTTACCTATGGTTAGAGATGAAAGACCTTCTCACTCTTAACTCAGGGCTCAAACTCCAATCTGAGAGATGAATTCTACCTATCAGAGATAGCTCAGGGCAGAACTGGTGAACAGCTCAGGATAGAACTCTTGAATAGAGAGATAGAACTGATCTTTATATTGTTCTCAAGTACTCAGAAGACCCTCAAGACAAATCTTTACATGTATTATTTTGCTGTTTCATTGTCTCCTGCTTATTTAACTCATCAAGCTGCTTCAAGAAGGGGGTGGAATGGATCTCGAAGAGATGTCCCCTTGGTGGTAGACCTGTTATCTTTGTGCCTTTCATTTCATTTTTGCCCTTATATTGAAGTGTTGAAGCATAGAGAAGCTCAGTCGAAGTGCTTGTTTGTCTTGTTTTGTTTTTAACCGTATTATCTGTTAGAATACTCTGTGGAGAAAACACACTGTACTCATACTTCTCTGACCTGACTACTGTAGACATATCACTTAAATGCTTCCTTAATGTTTTTTGAAATCTTCACATCTTGACAGTACTGTTATCCATCTCTTCCTGAACTAAAATCTACATATGAATGTTATTATCATAATAAGAGATTTGAAGTGCTAAAAATCAAAGTTAATTTCTAATATTTATATTAATTCAAGATATATTCTGCCTATTTAGAAATTGCTAAGAAGCATCCATGGATGCCCCCAAAACAAGGATAAACCCTTGATTGGATAGTTACAACAGATCTTGTAATCTCACATACTGCATAGTTCTGGCCATTCATTAGATTCTCTTTAAATGTTTCATCACCGAGAGTATTGAGCAATCATCCTGAGCAAGCCTGTCTGATTAAGGCCAAGGAAGCCCTTAATCATATTATAAACATATAATCATGCCATTTATTATTTATAGCATATAGTCCATTTTATAAATGGCCAGGACTAAAGGAAAAGAGAGTAGGGAAGTCTTGCTTTTATCAGTGACTTTTACATCTTAAGCTATCTGTACATTACCTGTCCCAAAACATTCACCCCATAGAGATTTGCCATCTATTTCTACCATCCCCATGCACTCTAGTACACAATCTTTTTGCTTTAGCCAAAGCCAAATCTAAGAACCCATGACTCAAACTACAGTCCTTGAGAAACTAAGGCTAAAGAATATGTGCTGATGCCACGAACTGCCCAGACCTCAGCCTGACCCCTGGCTGTCCCTCCTCTCACCTAGCTCCAGGAACATCTGCTGTGAACAGGCTCCTGGGCTTGGCCAGATGACCTAGCATGGTCCTGGCCACCATTCAGGGGTTCTGAGAGAAAACTGCTTCTCTTCCTCAAAGGTGGAAACAGAGACTCAGAGTCTTAGAAACATTCTCAGAATCTCTGAATGCAAATGTTTTGAGCAAAATCAGCATTCGAGCATTTGAGCAAACTTGCAGAACAATCTTGTAGCACAAAGATAAAGTTAAATGGCTCAGGTGCTAATCAAGTATGTTCATCTTTCCATAAACAGAAAGCATGGGGATATTTGGTAAGAGGAAAGGACATATTTTTTATTTTGGTGATTTTCTTAAAAAGTAAAAATGGCTCTACATTTTAAAGCAGTTCTAAAATAACAGATCACCCTTGTCCGAGGAATGACAGGAAAATCCTCTGACAAAGAAATACTTCCAAGTGGTTGAATTTAATTACAGATGGCAACAAGGAGCAAAGGAAAGATGCTTGAAAGTTTGTAAAAGAAAAGCTAAGGTAAAGTTTTCTAAAAAGATAATATATTCAACATCATGTACATATATATATGCATATACATGTATATAGACATACCTATGGACATATATATATATACAAGCTTACATATATATATATATATATATATACACACACACACACACACACACACACACATATATATATATGTATATATATATAAAATTTGGTCATGTTCTTTGAATCTACCCAGAAACTCTTTCATCTGAAAGTATGAAAGTTTATTAAAATGAGTAATTTAGGAAGACAGATGTGGTTTTGGTGGTTGTCTCAAGAAAACATACCCACTTTTTACCTTGAGAGAGACATAGAGCTTAACAGACAGAATCAGTAGTGTCAGGCTGTGATCATTTTTGCTATCTACACATTGCTGCAGATGGAATTTTCAAAGCAGAGCCAAAATTCATACAGCGAGATGACAAATTATTTTTAAAAGATTAATACATTTAAAATGATAACTTTTACTGGGAGAGCTGTCTAAACTTCAGTTTTTTAAAGGATTAGATACTTTGATTTTGCATGTAAAAGATGCCATGTATGCTTTGAATATGAATTACAAGCAATACTAAAAGGAAAATACACATAGCAGAAAATATGAAAGTAGATAAGAGCCAATAAGCATGAATTGTGTATCTTCCACTACCTACTACACTATTATTTATGCTCAACAAATATTTGATATTAAAAAACAAGACATGTCAATGGGCCCAGAGCAACTCTATGATACTGAATCAAATGGTGACTAAAAATGCTTTATTTCACTGTTCTATTTTGTAGGTATTATTACTTGGCATTCAGAGCACATCAAACACCTCTTGCTAGCAAAGAGAGTTGCATCGCTATCTTGGAAAAGTCCAGATTAGATCACTGGCTGCTGGGAAAAACAAAGGTAGTTCTTTCTTTGTTGTTTAGATTGTCACTTGAGATACTCTGCTGTGTACCTCGGTCTCTTATCAGTGATTTGAATAGCTCTGTAAGTTTTGTAACTTACCAAACAAGACCCCAACCTAACAGTGATCTTTGCTGGTCTTGGGTCCGGAGTCCTAGGACCTCAGGGGCCAAAAGAGGAGAGTTTGCTTCCTGTTCTGCATATACTTTGAGAACCATTTAACATTTCTAGAATGAGATTTTTGAGCTCATTTTTAAATGTCCTTTTCTTCAGTGCTGCTTATTCCAGCACTTCAGGCAAATACACAAATCATGTTAATGACAATAATGAGTATCTTTTATACTTTTGTCTTTTTTTCATTAGACTCGTGTTGTTTACTGCCCACTCTGATTAGTAGTCTCATCACATCTAGCTTTTAATTTGGGGAAACATATTCCTGCAAGATTCCAGGTTTTTGTGGTCCACTCTGAATTGCCCTACAATGCCAGCCTTAGCCTGATTGTGGATGGCAATGCTGCTGCTCCTCGGTAGAAATTAGATCACTGTGGCCCATTCAAGCCCCATTCCCTCAGAACTTCTGTCGGCCCTGGTCAGTTTTTCTGGTTTAACACCTCTATCAGAGCTGAGGGGGAAAAGATCAAGCTGAGAAAATGGAACTCATGGCAGAACTGAGGCCAGCCTGGAGAACATTTAGGATCTCCTAAAACCCTGTTAACTTCATCGTCTGTGTACATTAATAGTCCCACATTGGCTCAACCTTACAAGGGGAATTAATTATATTTGCTTCCAAGAAATCAGTAATGTTAGCATAAATCAAGTCACTGTAAACTTTATTTAGATGATGTTTTAATATTTATGTTAATTTGTTGGAGCAGAGTGAATTTCTGTGTGGGAGTCTGTTATTGTTGTTTAGTCATTCAGTCATGTCTGACTCTTTTGCGACCCCATGAACTGTAGTCCACCACGCTCCTCTGTCCGTGGGATTTCCCAGGCAAGAATACTGGAGTGGGTTGTTGTTTCTTTCTCCAGGGAATCTTCCTAACCCAGAGATCAAACCCGCATCTCCTGTATGGGGAGGTGGTTTCTTTACCACTGAAGAATCATTGGCAGTATTTATCTCAGCCTGGTGGCTCAGACAGTAAAGAATGCAGTAAAGAATCTGCAATATAGGAAATCCAGTTTTGATCTGTGGGTGAGGAAGATCTCCTGGAGAAAGGAATGGCTACCCACTCCAATGTTCTTGCCTGGAGAATCCCATGGACAGAGGAGTCTGGTGGGCTACAGTCCATGGGGTAGCGAAGAGTCAGACACAGCTGAGCAACTAACACACTTCTTTAACCCTCAGCACCAGAGGAGCTCTTGGGAGCCTATATGTAATGCTAAAACTGATGTCTTATTTCAGGTTTTTCTCAAGTATTATCATGTCGAGCAGTTAAATTTGCTGCTGCGGGAAGTCATAGGCAGAGTGGTTGTGCTGCAGGCCTATGCCAAGGGGTGGCTGGGAGCCAGGAGATACAGAAGAGTCAGAGAGAAGAGAGAGAAGGGGGCTGTTGCCATCCAGTCAGGTAAACAGCCCTGAATCTTGGCATTTCGTTAAGTGCTTGAGGGCACTCACCTTTTGTTCTTCTCAGTGGTTCCTCTTCTTCCCTCCCTCCTGCCTTCAGCAAATATTTATCAAGTATCTACTGCAGGCCAGGCCTTGTGCTTGGTGCTGGGGGTACAGCTGTGAGCAAGACTGCCACAGTCTCTGACCTCCAGATAAGCAAACGAGCCATCCCTACCCATGGCAAGATAGATGCAGTAGCAGTGGATGGATGTAAAACGCAAATCACACAGACATGTGCCCCAGCTCCCAGTTGACCCACCTCATACACACTTCATGTCCATTACCAGGTTTTCAGCATCAGAATTGCTACTGTCTGTCACATCCAGGAGGCTTTTCTAGCTCAGACAGAGCTTGTAAACCTTGGCAGCTAATCACTAGGCTCTGTCATACGCCCAGCCCTGTCAGTGTCTCTTGGCACACACGTGTCATTTGTGTCCCAAATAGCGTCTGAGTTCCTGTGCTACTGCAGGCAGTTGTCCCAGGTCTTGAACACAGCAGATGATTTCCTCTGTGTTGTTGTAACCCAGAATCATAACGTCCACTTGGACTTCATGACCTCATTCAGTGACGTGGAGAGCTATAGCGCTCAGGGAGGAAGTGGAAAGGAGAGCTGGTCATGCTCCTGGTAGCAGTTCAGTGCCTGGTACTCTGAAGGACTCAACACCCTGCCCCCAGCCCCTTGTTCCCTTTCTCTTCTCTTCATTCGTTTCCCATGCATTTTCCCTTTCCGTCACGCATTCCTTCCCTGAACGCAGTTCTATACATAGTCCCCCCTCCACAAATGCAAATGTGATGCTACTAATCATTATTATTTATTTTTCTCTCCTTCAACTTTCATGTGTTCTACCTTTCTCCCAATAAAAAATACAGAGTGAGTCAGGCCATTCCAGTCCTCTCCTACCCCTCAAGTCCTGAAGGCAGAGCTTCCTCCATGGGTTGGAATGACAGGGCCCCACCTCACCTGGACAGGGCTCCAAGTGATTCATAAGTGGAATCCAGAGGTTGTGGAAATTCACTGCCTGAACCAAAATGACTCCTTCTCAAAAGCATCTTGGAGGCCGAGCTGAGAGTACATAGAGGCCCCACCATCACTCACGTAGCTCTGCTTATTTTGTTCAGTGAGAAAGCAGTGGGGAGGAGGAGAGGGGTAGAGGATTGGAGGGAAACAGCTTATATCAATTCTCTGGCACGTTCTTAAATTAATGTCATTCCTAGCACATGGTTTTATATTTTTAGCCTGGAGAGGATATGATGCTCGGAGGAAATTTAAGAAAATAAGCAACAGAAGGAGTGAGTCTGCTGTTCATATTCACGCAGGTAATTAAAACATCATTTTCATAGTATCCACTTGGAAATCTTCTGTGATTAAGTTCATATGAGTTTCAAAAAGCTGAAAGGTTAATAATTCAGGAGCACTGGAAGAGGAGTCAAGAGTTCTGGTGGGGTCTAGCGTTTGTTCTGATTCACCCCTCTCCATGTGATGATTGAGAGCACTGGCCGCGTGCCATACCTTGGCTAAGAATGCTCCAAGTAGGTTCTCTTGTATTCCCAGTTTTATAGAGGGGGAAAACAAGGCACAGGGAAGTGAAATAACTCGTCCATAGTCACACAGCTAGTCAGAGGCCGAGTCAGCACTCATTCACAGACACTTTGGATAGAGTCCATTTTCCATAGTGCCAACTGAGCAATTCCCTTCCCCTCCTGGAGTCACTTGTCTGCAAACAAGAACATTGGCTAGAAAGGTCTGAAAGGTCTTCCAAACTTGGAATTCTCTAACTATATGCTCAGCCTGTCTCTTCATAGCACAGAGATAGGAATAACTCAGGTACTTGCCTGGCAAACTGTGTTTCCCACACCCAGGCCTGTGTGTGACTTCAGTGGTCCTCTGGGCCCCATGGGGTTAGCATGCTGCGGCTCAGCTTGTAGCTGCCTGAGCACCTCAAGCTCTGGCTCCCGGGTCACTCTGCTCTTCTGCAAAGGGCAATATCCACAGGAGTTGTGGGGCTCAGCTCCCTCTGTCTTTTGAAGCTGCATGTGCCTAGTTGAGGCTTTGGAAGAGCTGGGCCCCAGAGCACATACACCCGGGCTCTGAGAACACAAGATATCAGAGATGGAACGAGAGAGAAGTGACCAGGCCAGTGGACTCTGCAGCAGAGAGAGAGAGAGGGTTTCAGATACTGCCAAAGCCTAACATATATTTTCAGATATAAACTTTGAGCTTATCTATTGTTGATTCCCTTATCATAAAGTATGTAGGGTCATAAATCAAATTTTCCCTCTCTGAAAATCATCTTTAGATGGCTCCCTTTTGGACTCCGTTATTGCCACATGAACATGCATAAGAACAGATGGGTGAGTGGCTCCATTATACCAGGACACTCGGCTGCATCTTTTCAGCGCAGCACCTGTGGGGTGGGTACACTATGAAGGGTCCTTTTGTTTCGTGGGACTAGAGAGAACACGTTTCTTTAAGTAGCTTCTGTTTTTTTAAACTTTGGAAACAACCTCCTTCTTAGCCTGGCAGCTAGTGTCCCACATATCAAGTGATATTGGGAGCTTCCGAGTCCCCATGGGCTTGGGCAGGCATGTAGTTATTGAGGGTGGTACTGACACCACCTCACCCTCTTGGCAGGAGAGTGTGACAGCCAGAGCAAAGACGGGCAATGTCTCGTTGCCCTTCAGCCAACATCACAGACAGGAGTTGAGGGGCTGGTTTTGTGTTAGTGGTAAAGATACTCAGATAGGGTAACGACATTTGCAATTTTATGGGCAGATTACTTTTACTTGGAAATGTTTTCATTATGTTTCAATTCAAAGGCGGTGTTGATCTAAAAGCAAGGCAGCTCATTCCAATGTCTCTGTTTTGGGGTGTGCTCTTCCTAAAGTATAATCCTCTCATTACAAGCTCTTCATGTCCCTGGGACATTTCAAGTAGAACAAACCCCAAATATAGGGGTACTGTTACTTTTGAATCCTGCAGAAGTGGCTTCGGGATGCTATCACAATACAACCTTCTCTGGATATTTTCTAAGGTTATTCTCTAATTTATTATTTTTTCAACAAATCATTTCATTTGAAATGTAGACTCTGCAATGTGTTTGGTTTATATTTCAGGTTCTGGCCTATTGTCTTTTTTTTTTTTTTTTAAATCATGCTGCAATGCTCTGTTATATAGTTTTTGAAAGAATAGCCCTTGAAATTTAGGAAGCATTTGGCCTACATGTTGCTACAGAGCGGCACATATTGAAATTTGTTTTCCTTTCATCTCCTTCCCAATAAAAGCAGCCGCTCGGCTTATCCCTTTAGCTTCCTCAGAACTTCCTTTCAGAATTCCCGATCTATTACGGCACATTCACATACCAGAAACAAGATGCCTTTTCATGCTGTCAACCTTTTTCATCTGAAATGTAAATTAATTCTTGCTGGTATGCCTTGACAGAGATCAAAGTCAGAGTATTAACCTTCCCGGGCTTTCTCCAGAATCTGTCCCCAGGACAGGGCTGCGGCTGTTAGGAGGCCTGTGTCCGCGTTAGGGGCCCTCCTCCAGGCAGTACTTGGCCTGGGCACCACCATCTCCAAGTCCCAGGGTTTTTTTTGGAAATGACTCCATCAGTACTTTAAATCAGGTGAGCTATGATCTGCTGGGCTAGACTTGGGAGAGACGAGCCGCTCGTTTGAATTGTGGGCCGTTCGCTCAGACTCCCGGAGCTGTTCAAGTGGTTCTGATGGCGAGTGATCTCAGCGGGCATGATCGAGGGAGGGACAGGGCTCCAGACTGGAAACCTCTCCCTTTGCTCCCTGGTATTTTCCTGCCTGTCAGTCTTTGAGGTAGGCCTCATTTGCATTTTCAAAATAAACAGATGCCTTTCAAATACATGAGCTGGTGGTCTCAAGCTCTCTGTGGGCCTGAACTGTTCACCAGCCAGTGAGCAATGCTGGAAAAGAAAACAAATGGGGAAACATGCTAGGCACATGCACACACATTTCCTGTGTGCAGAACATTGTGCCGGCAATAAAGGGCCATTGTGAGATGCGGGTTCACCGGGAGAGAGCCTGCTGAGGATCTGGGCAAAAGTAGCCTTCCTCGGTTTCTTTTTTCAAGGAGAGGGAAACAACTTCAAATGTCACCTTGGTGAGAAGTGGCAAGCTTTATTGTGTTTTTATTTTTGATTAATGCTGATAATAGGTTCTTGCTATGGGGAAACATAATAAAACAATTTAAAATATGTACTTTTTTAATCAGAAAAATAATTGCAAACATATTCCTGTTTGGATAGATGGGGTATTCTAAGTAAAAACTAATAGTTGTCACCCCATCACTAATGTATTATTGTTTTTTTTTTTTTTCTTAATGAATTCTTAAGTTTCAGAGAATGGATATCACTATATTTTGTCAAAGAAAATTGCATACATTCCTCAGTAAATACTACCAAAACAAAAAACCTGCAGGGAATTTTTTTTTTAAAAGATCTACAGTGTCTCATTCTCTAAGTTTTTGACAGCACAATTTTTAAAAATTAACCCTCTGACTCAAAATCTGTTTTTTAAGCAAGAGCAAAGTGCCAGGCTCCTCATCTCACAGGGGAGAAGCCCTCAGTGACAGTGGAGCCTGAGGGACTGGGAAGGAACTTCAAAGGGTGTCTCCAGGAGGAGCTGGCTCTCACAGCCTCTCTCCCCCTCTTTCCCCCAGCCCTCCAGGAGCGGGAAGAGCCCATTGGTTTATAACACTTTCTCATCTAATTGCTTCAGTGCTTTGGAAATTGTTTTCTCTTTCTCTCTGTTATCTGATCAGCATCCTACTTACTCCCCTCCTTGGTCCTACAAGGGATAACAGCACTAAAATCTATTGCCATTTCTCCTTCTAATGCCCTCTGAGGGGAGTGGTTTTTGTAGCAGCATCCTCAGTCCTGCTAAGGCTGAGAGGCCCTCTTCCTTGAGCCTGTGAGCAGGCATTTTAAACCAGCTGCAGCTGGAACCCCTGGGCACATCATGTGACGCCAGCCAATGGGAATTGCTTTAAATGCAGTTTCCAAAGAGGAAAGCAAGCACAGAATCCAGACAGGCTCTCCTCCTTCTCCAGGTTAACTTCTTTCAAAAGTCTGACCCCACATCATGACAGAAGCAAGTTTTAATACTTAAAACGCCTGAACTTTTAAACCTCTCTCAGGGTAAGCCTTCCTCCTAGTCTTTTCTAATTTTGAAAGGCTGATTCCTTTAGCATTGTTGGTGGGTTGGCAATGACTGGGTTGTTGCAATAATTTCCTAGAACTAGATTTCCAGAAATATCCCTAGGTGTACAGAACAACTATATTTTAAATTAGGAAATTTCTTTATTTCATTCACTTATTCAACTACTGTTTAAGTAACTGCTTTATGCTGGAGCTACTCTCAAGGTGAACAATGGGATTTAGTTTGGGGCTTCAGATTTTTCATCTTCAACACAGAGGATTAAAAAACATGCTTCCCTCAAATGGACGCTGTTTGTATAATCAAGTACTCTATGCTATGTCAGCACTCCTTGGAAGGGAATTCTGTTAAACACCAAAGAGTCAAAATCATTATAATATATAGCTGAGGATATACTTTGAAATGGGTTCCCCTGGTGCCTTAGTAGTAAAGAATCTGCCTGCCAATGCAGGATATATGGGTTCAATCCCTGGGTCAGGAAAATCCCCCAGAGGAGGAAATGGCAACCCACTCCAGTATTCTTGCCTGGGAAATCCCATGGACAGAAGATCCTGGTGGACTACAATCCATGGGGTTGCAAAAGAGTCAGACACAACTTAGCGACTAAACAACCAGCAACAATACATTGAAATGGCCCAAGCTTCTTGAAGGTAAAAATGATTAGGCAGATGTTTTTCAGTTTGATGAATCTGTGCATAAGCACGTTGTTGATCGCCAGTCAAACAGTAAAGGAAAGTCAAATGAATGTACCCAGTGAGGGAAAATATCCACTTTGGACACATAGGAGGAAAACAAGCATGCTCCTTTATGCATCTCTATCATTCCTTCCTATTCCATTGTTTCTTCACTCATTCTGTTTCTGACCTTTGGAAATATTCCTGGTCGTTTTGCACAAAAAATGTGATTTCTCAAAATGTGATTGAAGAAAAGTTCCAAACTCTTTTTGGCAGGGGCCAGCTGCCTCTCCATTCCTGGTATTTCAGGCCATTTCCACACAAGAGTAAAACAACATCTAGGAGAAGGAATTAACTGGCACACCTGAGCTAGAGATGAACGGAGAGCTCACACTTGCTCCACTGTCTTCCAAAGCTCTGATTAACTGAAGGAAGGTGCCTTTCAGGCTATGTGAG